TGCTAGAATGTTAGGTGTGCTAATGTTTCATCGAGTATCAGTTTGAAAGATTGAATGCTTAATGCACAGACGACGTGGGGTACGGAGAGAGTTCCAGATCGAACACACTCTGACTGCGAATGACGGACGCCAGTAATCCAATTCGCAGTTTGGGACTCCTAGTTTGAATAGATGTCCTCCAAGGTGAACATTGGGTGATAATTTCAGAAACGGACGACGCGAACGGCTTGGGTTTTGCATTATTTGGTATACAATAATCATATCTCCTCTGATGCGCCGGTAGCCATTGAAATATAACCCCAGTGACTTCGATCTCTCTCTGCGCATGAACACCGATTCAACCCTGTGACCCGTTTTGGTGATCATCCTTTGTAGACGCTCCAGCATCTTGCAATCACGCTGTAGCCATGGATTCCATGCCTGAATGGCGTACTGTTTGAGTGGGTGAATATATGCTAATGGCAATCGGAGATAACCGCAGATTCAAACCGGCCAAAGATCCGCTTAAGCAAACTGATATTCTTTATAGCTGCGTTCGATACCTTGACGCAGTTGAATGAACAGCTTAAATTTTCTTGAATGATGATTCCCAGGTGCTTCTCATTTGAGGCGAATGGCAGTAGTTGATTTTCGAGAAAAAATACGAAAATCGCCCTTTGTGTCGTAGAGATAGAACTTTGAACTTTGGCTTATTGAATTCAATATTGTTCAAAAGAGATCAGAGATAAGCTGCTTTCAGCGTTTCCTGGAGTGCCAATGGGTCCGCTGGTTGCGTTACTTTATTCCAAATTTCGGCGTCATCTGCAAAAAGTAATGATTCGCGGGCCAAGCACAGATCCTTGTGGAACCCCACGGGTAACGTCCATAGGACGGGAAAGCGAATCAGAAGCACGAGTCGATATGGTTCGATGTTGGAGAAATGCTTCAATCCAATCAAGCATCAGGCCCCGAATACCGTGATAATAGAGTCTCCGCCCATAATGTCGTGGTTCACCTGGTTGAACGCTTCGGAGAAGTCTAGATAAGTAACGTTTACCGCGTTGCCGTCAACACCTGCTTTTGTCCATTTTTCTCGTGCGATCAATGAAGTGGTAGCGCGGAATCGCTTCTGTCGGAATCCCGATTGACTCGGTGACAGAACATTGTGCTTCTCTAGGTGTTCAATCAGTGAATCTGCTACTATAGACTCCATGACTTTGTACAACACTAGAGGAAAGGTTATAGGGCGGCAGTTAGCGGGATCTCTACGGCAACGGCCTTTGTAAATGGGTCAAATTACTGCATGCTTTCAGGACGGTGGGATTGCAGTGTGACCGAACATCGTCTGGTATAAGAAAGCTAATGACTCGGCTATTTGATTTGCCAAGCAGATACGGGTTTGGGGTTTGAATATTGTCTGCACCTAGCGATGTATTCTTTCTCAAAGCCAATAGTCAATTTGGAAAATATTTCATGTAAAGCGGTATGAAATTTCATCCCTTCTAGTAAATATACCAACTGTGGGTATTTTTAAGCCTACAAAAATTCCTAATCACGCATTATCCTTAATCCTGAAAAAATGAAAAATGAATCCAAGAAAACAAAACTTGACCTTCCGATGTGCGACTCGTTGAATGGGCGTCTTGTAGTCTCACCATGTCCAAACCATATGAAACATGTAAGAGATTTCGGTATATATTTGAAGCTGACAGGTAACTAATTCGAGAGGTACAGATAGCCGACAATTTAGCTCCTGATACGTGTAAACGCTTCGATATGAATAGGAGCCTAATTTGTTGGATAATAAATGAAATTTATTCATCAAGAGTGAAGAAGAGAGTATCCTCAGTGCTCAAAAATGAAGGAGGTGGGCGGGGGGGGGCGAATAGAAGATTGACAACAACAAGTGCAGTACCTGTTTGAAGTCTACGAGTCATTCTTTTGTCAATAAATTTTATTGATGTTTTTTAATTGTTATTCTGTTATTAGAAAGAAAAACGTAAGTATATATATATATATACATATATATATATATATGTACAGGTATTTTGCGTCTGATGCGGGGCAATATCATATGCAATCCCGTCACTGTGGTTCGGAATACTGCGCAATGGGAGAATCAAATGTGATGAAAGTGTCAAGATGTTGCACGAGTTGGATCAATACCTGTAGTTATGGTCAGAGGACAGAAGAAAGATACAGTCTATCACTTGTACTTCACATCAGAAAAAGTGAATTAGACACATGAGACGTTTTTAATCACATACTGTGCAAATCTTCCCAGTGGAAACTAAAAACAAACATGAGCCACTAGTTACAGCCCAATCAACCGCAACAGCAACTGTAAAACCGCGTACTGATCTGAAAACGGACTTCCACCCGGAACGAACGAAAAATTATCAACATTACCAAAATCTATCTGAATGACACCAGTTCAGACCATGCAGTTAAGGATACTGTGAGTCAGAACTGGAATAACTCGTGTCCGGCACAGGATCTATATAGTCCTATTAAAGTCACATGATCACGGGACTGCAATGACCTTGGATCGGCTCGCCCAAATAGCCTGATATTAATTGATCTCACGGAGCAATCGAGAATACACGCAAGCCGCAGTTTATAGTCGCGCGTTGTCTAGTGTTCGGCAAACAGTCAGTACTCGTAGTCTGGACTATAAAGTGTGTGGAACTCACGCGAAACACATAGGAGAATCAAACTGCTCAACCTATCTCTCTTCAGTGATCGTGTTATCAACCAGCCGGCCATGCCATAGAAACACAAAAACATCGCAGCTGCTAGGCTAGTTAGACACGGAAGAAAATTCACGCACGCGGCCTTTCAACCACACACACACACACACACATCGCTCAACAACAGCCCCCCCCCCCCAAAAAAAACACCATGTGCTGTTTCGAAAAAGAGTGAGAAACTATCGAATTTATGGCTAAGGGTTGCGAAAAAAACAGTTTGTATAAAAGAGCCGTAAACACGCCCCAAGTAAAGGCCGTTTTTCTCCAAATGTAACTTCGTTATCCATAAGGCACTGGAATAAACGCACTAGAACATGCTTTGTCTGTGCTGCATTACCCATGGAGAGGGGATCACTGTTAATGGACAAACTGGACCAAAACGACACACACCCACACAGGGCAACATGGATTTGAACGAAGAGTGCCATTTGAACGATGAGAATGTCCCGCTCAATTCAGACATGTACGGTTTTGATACCGGGTGAAAACCTATCTGCATTCCTTGTCGAAAAAAGGAGACGACCGAATCTAGCATTTAAGTGAAAATCGATTTTTAAACATCGGTTATTTGAGAGGAAAAATATCATATCATCATCTATATGGTAAACGTTAGGTCCAGTGTTGGAGGCCTGGAGGAGGTGTGTTCGAATCCCACCACTACCAGCAACACATAACTATGTTGTATGACAGTCCTTGGATTGAGTCACTGATTAATTGATTGGCCGCTTCCCCTTCATATACATATATATATATATATATATTCAATAAAAAGAAGTAAAAGTAGAAAGGAAAAAAGCGATAGAAACATTTGTGATGGTCCATAATGAGCTTTGGACAGATGTTTCATCCTGTTTGGGACTCGTTAGCAGTGAGCGTACTTTTGTGTTCTTGTCAAGACTGTGGACAATCGAATGGGTTATTCCAAATTCGCTACTCTTGGAAAAAAACAAGATTCATCTCGAACAATCCCTCACTCCCCTGCACCCCACGCCCTAGCTGCCCAGTTTTTAGTATCCTAATTTTGCACGGGAAGTGCACCTGTCTTTCGTGTACCAAATTTATCCAATGTGTTTACAATGACTGCGAGTGTGGGGTGGAATAACCTATCGATCCGGGCTAGGGAGCACGTGACATACCGTCGATCAAACTATCCAATGTGAATCAAGTGAGGGAACTATAGGATATGAATAACGCCATACAGTTTTTGATATGACATATTCTATGGATTCACAGAGATTTTCAAGTGCATGTCAGAGCCCGATAGGATTCAATTCCCATGGAATCAAGGGGACAAAATAATATGCTGAGTGGACGTTTATTGCAAAGACGACAATAAGATATAGACACAAAACACTTGAAAGAAAGTGATTTTATGATTTTATTATACCCAAAAGAAACCAAATGTGTTAGCACTAACCTGAAAAGAACTGGAATCTCTTGACTAAAACCAATTGATGATAAATTAAATTAATTAATTATTTAGTTAATTAATTTAATTAAATATTCATTAATTCCAGTCGCGAACAAACCAGACGTGCTGCTACTAGCGGATTGTAGGGTATAGCAAGCATTCAATTAAGTTCGATGAATTAATGTTTGCATGTTGCGTCCTACCCTTGATGACAAACTAACCAGGTGTGATTTTATGCGCAAACTGTAAAAGAATCAATGAAAAGTAAGCTTGAAGAACAAAAAAAAACAGTTTGCCTAGGTATCGAATACAGGTTTGACAGGATGAAAAGAAATTTGTAAACTAATCTTATCTGACCGTTAGATCAGAATTTGGAAATTTTTTTTCAACCCATTTATCATCGTTCTCGTATCATCTCGGTTCCGTTTCCCCACGAATGACCTTCAGTGAACTTGAGATGCAAGTAAAGTGGCAGGCAATAACTGTCGTACTTTTGAAACATCGAACATTCTCCTCCCATATGATACGCTTGAACTGGTTGTGGTAAACCATTCAGATCAGTTTGTTTTTCATCATCACACCACACCACTTTTCACTCTCGCTCCCGATAACAAAATATCGAAAGTACACTGAACCAATTTTGGGAACGGAAATAATAGTCCAGTTGAAACAGAACTGGCCCACTGATATGGGATATTGGCAAAACGGTTCGGTTTGTTTGTTTGAATCTGAAACTTGATCGATGAAACTGGTATAACTGTACTCACAACTCATCATGTAAGACGTACAACAGTACGAATAAGCCGATAAACCCCTGACCGATTCAATCACTGCACGAGATTGATTGATGCGAACACAGAACGATACGGATTTCATGATAGACAGTTTTATCTGGCAATCATCAATGATAATTTGCGAGTAGACTGACAACAATCGATCAGGATTGAAACTGAAAAAAAACCATCTTGCAGCGTGTGGTACGGGGAGATGGAACCGATGCAACCCAAGTGGACTTTATTGTTCTGTATGAGATGCGACTGAGCAAATCTGCTCCCGAAGTGGTTACTTAGGATGTGAATGTTTTTTTGTCCTAGTAACAGTTACCGTGTGTCCGCAATTGGTAGATTGTCCGTAATTCAGTGCCCCCCTGGACGAAAATAGATCCTACCATCATCATCAAATTGCTGAAGTCCGTCTGTTTTCGCCAACCCGGAACAATAATCGGGTCGGCGAAAGTAGAAGTTAAACCAAAATCACGACTTATTGATTTCACCGTATCACTTAAGACTAATTGTGTCCAGGTAAAACCTGGAAAGGTTCATGTTCCATCAATCGGTACAAATTGTAAATTGAATGCTTTCTAAATAGTTGCCTCGTGATGCTGTGTGAGTTTATCAGGATTTGAATTCGTTAATGATTTTTCTCAAACTGTTTGAATGTTTCATTTAGGAATCACGTGACCTCGAGTGGATATTGTATTCGAGAGAAAGAGAGGGAGTAAGTAAAGCCGCAAAGTGAGATAGAAAAGATCAATACATAACGAACCAGAACCTGCGTGAATAGGTTGTTCTCGCCAGATTGCCCAAGTGTTCACAACCATCACAGATTCAGACTAATCTGAACAGCCTGACGAAAACATGGGACAAACTCATGATCGCATGGGCTCGCCTAATAGAAGAAGTTCACTGATAGACATTTATCCTGGTAACATCCAGTCATCCTCATCGATCTCGCATATCACACAGACTGTAGTAAAGCTACATTATCGGTTATTCAGTTGTCATTTTATTTCGATCACTGTTTTTCCTTGTTTAACGGATTAATTTTACTGCAAAATGAACAACAATTGATTCATCACAAGCTGAATCTACAGAGAGAGAGAGAGAGACAGAGAGAGAGAGGAAACACAATTGACTTTTTTTGTTAGAATGACTAACAACATGCGTGAGCAAGACCGATAGTGTCTTGTAATGCATATCACAGTAGGGTGGAAGAAAACATTACCGGATCAATACAATCCTTCCTCCTGGTTCGAAGATTCCGGCTATAAGT